ATAATTTCACAGTCCAGTTCAGGCTCCATTGATTACAAATCAATCCACAAAAGTAAAATAAACCAAGGACACAAAGTTGAAACTGATTGTAGCGTGTGTGTCTTGTCCATGTATGCCTGTCGGCTGTACGTACACTGACTTCAAGTCAGTGTACGTACAGCCGACAGGCATACATGGACAAGACACACACTCTACAATCAGACTTGGCGCGGCTACAATCTACAGCTAGTAGAGCCACCTGTTGGCTGCAAAATGTAGCGCGAAAATGGTCCGAGTTCCATTCCCGCGCGACGCTACATTCTACGGCGCGCTGTAAAATGTAGCGCGCTGCAGACTGTCGCTAGTGGAGCCACCTTCGTTTGATCGCTGCATTCCCATTTCCTAAACTGACCAGCTACAATTTGCAGCGCGGCAATCTACGGCAAGTGGAGCCGCGGCCAATAGTGGTAGGATTTCTAACAAAAAGGCAATACAAGTTTTCCATTAGTTTATTTTTGCTTATTATTGTGATATATACACACTGATCTGCAGGTAAAGATTGAACTTTAAAAAAAAAAAAACTCATTAGCTACGGTAAAACATATCAATTATAAGTGAAATCAATATAAACTGTTTTTTATTACTACAGTGCTTTATGTTGTGCGATTATTTTTTCCTTATTTACTTTATAGGTACGTTTATGAACGAAATAAATGTTTAAGAAAGCTTATCATTTAAAAATTGAATCGTATGGGTATATTAATTTCTATAAATTCATCAGCGCCTCATATAATTCGTACTAGGTAGCCTTATAAGTTAGCCTAGCCTTAAAGAAAGATATTTGTCAAACTAAGAGTTTAAATTGAGTTACGTTCCTGAAACCAAAGGGGAATGTGTAACTATTTTATACAACAGAATTCAAGATCACATTTTTTCGCTTCAGTGTCCTTCCGTTGCGAAGCACGGGTACAACAGATAGTATCCTATAAACAGAAAATCAAAACAAATGGAAGAAATTCCAATCACATGTTTTATCTACAGCGTGGGGTGAAAATAGAGAAGTTTGCAGTTTGCACAATGCCTAAGGCAGTATGTTTTATCTATGACAATACATACCACGAATACTAGAAAAACGTACTTTTGGTCGAGTTTTCGACCACGGGTCGAGCTCTCTAGTGTTTATCTAATATGATACAAATTGAAGTGCCGCATTTTCGGCTGGACGGGCTAAATAAACTCTCCGTTGAAGATCAGGAATTAGCAAGTATTCTTCGAAGATAAAGTAATTGATGAGTTACTGAATGGGGAAATAATTATCAATGATTTACATTTTGTAATTTTAGCGATTTTCCCATATATAGGGAATAAGCTATTACCGTAGGTCTCATGGTAAGACTTAGACCCGGGACCTGTAAAAATAATTAAATTTAAGTAAATTTGTTGTCTGCTCACACACACATGGAGGTAAATGTGAATTATTCACAAGCAAAATCTAGAAAATGTTACAATTCTTCTTTATGCATTAGCCTCGTTGAAAAATATATATATATACATTTATTACTAATTTGTGTTTCCAGTTTACCATTTTTTTAAATTCACCAATAACTTTTTGAAGTGTCTTTTTCTTGGTTTCACATATTTTACCTTCATACAGTTGCCAACTTACAATATTGTCGTAAAAACAATACCAATATCTCCCGTCTTCTGATTTCTTTAGTTATTTTAATTTTTTGCGTTACTTTGTTTTAAATTGAACATTCCTTATCTCCTAAGTTGCCGACAAACAATTTTGTACATATGATACAAATAGATGTCTTCTGACTTTCCTTTTTCTTAGTTCCACATCTTTTTATTCATCACAGATCCCAACATACATTTTGTGTACACAGTACAAGATCTGTCGCGCAGCGTTTCTTTTCCAGTTCCACATTGTCTCCTCGCTGTTCCTCACATCTGTGGTTCATACCGCAGAGCTCCTCGCCCGTATTGTTCCCTCGCCATTTCTCCGAGCGCACGACAGCTCCGCAGAAGAAGAAAGTGGCCTTGCGATCGGGGTCGAGAAACAAGGTCGGAGAGAAAGAGAGCCGAATCTAAAATGGCGGACCAGCGTGACTCAATTCGAAAAATTACGCGTAACCGATGGCGACCGCTATTGTTTATTTGGCGAGATGACACTTTCTCTAGAATTAGCGTCTTGGAGCGTAACCGGTCCGGAGCTGAGCGGTAGCGTACTGGAGTGAACAATGCAGAGGGTGTTATATACACGGAATGGCCTTTTGTTTAGGTTGGAACTAGACGGTGGATAAGCTGTCAGAGAAGGAAGTGGATCGTGGACTTTGAAGTTTAGAATCCCAGCATCGTTCACTCTCACATCGTTGTACAGTATCCAGTCCAATTTTTAAAGGTTTTCAAACACCTTTTAGAAATAGTGTTCAAAATTAAATCCAAGCAAATGTCCTAGGAATTAGCAAACGGTCCTGTTTTCCTCACGCCAGTGCTGCGGTAGGGAACGTTTGGGAACGCTAACAACTTGGCCGGAAAAGATAAAAGTTAAGTGCATGGGAATCAAACTTATTAAAACAACACTGCATCACGACAGAATGTCGTTGGTTCGATTCTGCCATTTATGCTACTAATTTTTTGGCACCCTACGTTATTCTACTTGGTTAGTAACAAAGCTACACAGAATATGACAACGATGAGAGTAACTATAAATATGAGATTCAAGTTTTAACAGTAGAATTTTATAAATTTTTCTAGAATTTCTAGAATTCCAGATTCGGATTTTACATAACTAGAAAGGGCATATACTTCTACTGCACACCCTGCTGTAGTGCTGTATGTATGAATGAGAATGTCTTAACAAAATTTCCAAAACAAAAACGTGGAGACAAGACTCCTTGCCATACTATGCAAAACTCGAGCAGTAAATTAAGTTCTGTTATTCTATGAAATTCTAACTATCACGGCTTTACTCTCTGTGTTATTTATGGTATTCAGTGACAAATCAGAAAACACTCGGATACATTACGTATCCACAGAGTTGCAAAGACCGTATAGTTCACTCTATAAATTGGCAATATTTATGATATTTTGGATTATTTTTAAATTATTAAATAGCCATTATTGCCAGGCCGAGTAGCTACTACGAAATAAAAGTGGTTTTCCTGGGTCCTCTCATTAACTGGTGAAATAGTCTTCAAAAGCTGCAATTATTTATCGACTGCCTTTATTGTACCGTCAAATCACAATAGTTTCTGTATGGATGTCACGGAACATTTTGAAGTACACGGTACAAATGATTTATCTTTTTACTTGTACTTATAGAAACATTGTTAAGGAATTATAACGGTGTAGTTTATATCACTTAGGAGCAGACTTTTGTCTTTAGGTACCGTATTTAACTGATTTTGTTAACACTGTATAGTTTATCTGTGCATAATGATAGCTGGAAATTATTGTGTTTTCGTTGGTTTTTCGATGGGTTTGAACTATAGCAAGAGCTTGAAGTAATAATACTCTACCTTGGTCCTTGGTTATGAGAGTTCTGATTCCTCAAAATAATATTTACTTGGAATCAAAATTACCTGGAACTATATGAAATGATCCCAAGATCTCTCCAAGTTGTAAACATGAACATGAGTTAAAAGAATAATAAACAAAAAATTATAGACTAACCAATAACACAAGTAAGTTTACAGATTTATTGGTCTAAGAACGCAAATATAACATCAGTGCATCCGTCCTTGTCAAGAAAAATATTAAAATAATTAAAATCTAATATCATAAGTTTTAAACTATGTAATACAATTTAACAAAGCTACAAAAATATAAAACAGTATTCCAGATTGAAACTACTTTCAGCTCCTTAATACAATAGGAATGATTGTTCCAACATTCAACCACAATAATGTAATGATAATGTTGTAATGTTTTAATGTGAAGGCAAACATTTCAGATCTAAGGTAAAATGATTAAAAAGTCTAACGCCTACACATAAATGGTTTCTATAGTAGAGAGAGGCTAATTTGACACGAGAAGCAGATAATTTTTTTACCAGCAATATCATTCATCGTTCATTTGGAATCTACCTTCCACCTAAAGGAACACCTAAAGAAAGCCAGATGAACGCCACGAAAACCCAGGCACTGCAATATTTTACAAAGAATTTAATGGCCAACACAATCAAATTCCTTGCTCAGTCACGGCCGCCTTTAACTCCAGGCCGCGGACTTCGAAGTGGCATCGTCGCAAGTGGTGTTGTAACAGCTGTTTTGTTTGGAAGCAGATAATGGTATTTGTGTATTTACAAAAGATTGGTTACTGGACTATGACAATATTGACTCCGCTTAAAATGTACAGATATAAATTTTTAATTCATATTGTTTCAGTTTTTAATTCTGTATGTTTTATTTTCAATATTTTATTAAATTTATGTTCATAAATTTAAATTTAAATCAATAAAGTGTGAATTAATGAGCTGATGTCACCTGTCCGCCATGTTTTCTTATAGGACGTCTGTCACTAAACAACACCACTTGCGACGTTGCCAATTCTACAAGGCCGCGGCCTGTAGTTAAAGGTGGCCATGACTCAGGACGCAAGCAGTGATCTGAGCAAGGCTATATATATATTCTAAAGTGCTGATTAAATAATCGACGATTGATATAACTGCACTTGTTCTAAATAAAGTACAAGCAGTGTACATGATCATCCACTGCGTATTGCACTAGTACATATTGCAGATACAGTATGGGTAGTTCTTACCCATCCGATAGCCAAATTGTGTTGTGATACATTAATTATGCTTAGCCGATTAAAGTAGGTACATGCCTGGAATTTTATAACTTGTTCAACAACCTTACCGAAATTACTAGATATTTAATCTATGATCATAGTTTTTCAAACACTTCTACGGATCATTACTTCTCCAGTCTTTTAGTTTGTTTTTTGTTATTTTTATCTGAGTTGCCTTTGGTTTTGGACTGGAGTCTACTGGATTTCTCGACTCGATAGCGGTAGCGGATTGAATGTGGTGAATTTTGCTCCTCGTTCATATGTCAAACTATTCGACTCTTGTCAAATTTTACCTTACGAGGACGCAGTACTAGTTTGTATGTATTTCTATTTAATTAATTATTAAACTCTTAAGTCAAATATCATCTAGTTAAACTTGCTGGGCCTTAACATATTCGATAGTAATTAATTAATTATTTGCTTTTTACTTCCATCCTATGGCTAGGTTAAGTGCTTCAATCAACATAGTTTAAAATCGGTCTCCAGACCCTAACTTAACTGCTTTTCAGTGTTATTGATTGATTTTTTTTAAATTGATATTTTAACTGGTAAGGCCTACCTATGTTGCAGTATTGAACTTATCAATATTATACTGTACGGTAGGCCTACCTAAAGTAGGCCTAAGTTAAGTCTTTGTACTGTAAGTGATTATAAGTTATTGATTGTCTGGGTAGCCGAGTGGTTATTGAGCTCGCCTTCAAATCTGAGGGTCACTGTTTCGATTCAAAGCGAGATAGTTTCCAGACTCAGATGCCAGTTGTCATTTGACTATAGGCTATAAATTAATGATGCTATCCAAAACAAAGGTTGATGTTAGATATCAAGACCAGGGATTGGACCGTTCCCTTTCAAAACGTTAAAAAATTTCATTGGCATGAATAGCACACAAAATTAATACCTTACTGACATTGTTAAAACTTATCTCATTGTCTGCAGATCTGTTTAAATTGCCGTAAGGATGAGTGCCTCCGCCCCCAGTGAGATGGAGGTGGAAGAGGGGAGCAGTAAGAGTGTGATGGCGTCGTCTGGCACTGTGGGCAGTGTCTCCGTCTCTCTTCACCCCTTAGTCATTATGAACATATCAGAACATTGGACCAGGATCAGAGCTCAGGAAGGAGTTGCTCAGCAAGGTGTTTTGTTTTTATCATTTCAAACTGTACTTTACTAAGTATTTTTACTAAGGCGTATCGCTTAGATGTTGGCTACTACGTGTTAATCACCGTTTATGAAACGCTAGCGGCAGGAAAATGCCTTCATGTAGAATAGGATTTTGCTGTAACAAAATTTAGTCTAATGGTGCTGAAACAAGTTTTATGTCAGAGTTAGGCATATGCCTATTAGTTTGTTAACATTTTACAGCAAAAGTGTCTATAAAACTGTGTAAGGCCACTTTACAACAAAACAATTTAAGTTATTTAGATGATCATTATGCCAGGCATAAATTAGGCTAATGATATTCTAGAAATAGTAAGAACTAAGTATTCTAGTAATAGAATAGTAAGTTCTAAGTAGTAGTAGAAATAGTAATGTGATAGAATTACAAAATGCTGATAGGCCTACAAATTAAAATACTGTCTAATTTTGTTTCCAGTCATTGGAGCCCTTATCGGGAAACAAAAGGGTCGCAACATTGAAATCATGAATTCTTTTGAACTGGTTTTCAATGTGATTGGCGGCGACATTGTAATAGATCGGGACTACTACAACACCAAGGAAGAACAATGTAAGTAATTTATACTCAATGTAATTTTCCCTATTTTGTTAATATACTAACATATCATTCTGATTTCCTTTTTTTCCGCATTTGTAATGTAACTTAGGAGTCAACAAAGGTTATTTTGTATATGTCCTTTCCCGCATCATGAGCTCAAAAATTATAAGTGGCTTAAACGTTAAACTTCTAGTGATTTTGTTCAAGTTTTAATGCCTTAGAAAAATCTGTCTTGTGCTCATAAAAGAAAAGTTAAAGTTTTGTTTACTTTTAATCAGTTAGACCTGTATTTTGATTGAATTTAAACAACTAAGTACATTCTGTTTAGCTTAAAGTGTTAAAACTGTATACTTTTTCTTGTAGTCAAACAAGTGTTCAGCGAGATGGACTTCCTGGGTTGGTACACGACAGGTGATTCTCCAGACGACAGTGACATCAAGATACACAAGCAAATCTGTGAGATCAACGAGAGTCCGATGTTTTTAAAGCTCAACCCCCAGGCTCGTCATGCAGAGGTTAGTGTCTGTAATTATAAACTGACACAAAAGTCTATAATTTCTTCCTACTATTCGTCATAGTGAAAATAGCCACTTGCGATTGCAATACACACATTTTGGACTGAAGTGGTTCTTTTTATCCTCTGGGGGAAAAATAACCGAATAGAGTCAAGAGCATGAGCTTAACGTACATTTTAAGTTAAAGATGTTTGTAGACGCAAGTCTCCAACGAGCTGCTGACACTGTCAAGCGAGCTAGTTAAAAACTGACTCTAAGACTGTGTTCATTAACTCATTAACTTAACTACTATTTTAGCTTGCTTCTACCTCTGTGATGATTATTTTTGCGATTTTAGCCATTATCGTGGTTAGGGAGAATCGAATATAAATTATGTTTTAAGATTAGGTTTCTGTAAGAAGTGGGTTAAAACCACTATTGAAATCAGTTGCCAGTTGACAAATAGGAATATAACTTATATGCAGGAAAGTGTTAACCGGAAAAAAATGTGCCTAGTTTTTAAGGTTTATTTGTGAAGGTTGTAAAAATTTGCTAGACTAAGACAACACTGTGTAAATGTTAAAGATTACCTCCAAAATGCCTTGTGCACATTTTCTACCAAACACTTTTCTCCATTCGCGTCTGTCAACCAGCAATGAACTTCAATAGAGGTTAGCATCTTGAACCACAAATCACAGAACCTAATTTAATACTTGGTGGGAGCATTGATTTTCCTTAACATCATTAGGTGCCACTGCCACTAACCCCTGACATAAACTTAGGCTCTTCATAAACAACATCAGAACAATTAAGAAGATAAAACTGTTGATTTTTCTTGTAGCAACTACCTATTGCCATGTACGAGTCTGTGATAGACCTGGTCGGGGGAGAGGCTACCATGTTGTTTGTGGAGCTCCATTACACGCTCGCCACTGAGGAGGCGGAGAGAATCGGAGTGGATCACGTTGCGCGAATGTCCAGCAATGACTCGGGCGAGAGCTCTCTTGGTAACTTTTGTTGTTGATTAGAGTTTCTCATTATAACCTGAGTAAAAATTATAAGGTGCTTTTCTGTTAGAAGGAAGTCAATTCGCTGTTTACCTTTTCTTCTCTGTCATCAGTAGGCTTTGATTCCGTCTTTCAAAATTGTAATTGAATTAGTCCTACCATTAGGCCTACCAATTGAGATAGGGGTACCACCTAGGTGTGTATTTTAATCTAAATATGAGTGAATGTAGAATGAAGTGAGATGATCCGTGTAGCTTTTTTCCTGACTAAAGGCCATGTCACACCGACATCCGCCGCATGTTTTTCCTCGAGCCATGTCACACCAAAAGTTCGCGTCCGCGGCGGGAGTTTTGAGATGAGTTCATTACAATTAGTTTTACATAAGAAACTCATCTTACCGGTTTAGTATGCCATGTAAATTTGCAGGTTTTAAGTAAAATGTTTAAGAAGCAATCGAATGTTTATTAATTTGTTAGTGTAGGGCTACTTTAAAAAGTGAATAACTATTTTTTAAATTTAATTTAGACCTTGTGTTCGAAGCATTTTAAATATGGTTGTGGATAAATTATCCACTTTCAGCTTTTGAACGTTATTTTTCGCTAAACTACAATAGTTATTTGTGTAACTAGTGGTGAAAGTGGCACTTTGCTGCACACGAGAGCAATGTTTACGCACGAGCCGCAGGCGAGAGCGGAATGATGTCGAGTGCAGCAAAGGCCTTTTTCACTCGTGTTACACATGATATTTTTCCTACAGTCATTATAAAGCATATAAATAATTAGTCTTTCAAATACTATACAACACGTTTTTAGGTTCAGCTGGCAACACAAATGGTGCCCTAGAGAAAGTAGTACCCGCGGTCCGTATCACTCCGCTATTTTACCTCGGCAAGAAATATGCTCCGCGTTTTGAGAATATAGTTCCGTATGTTTTTGTAATTTGAAGTGGTTTCTGCGCCTTAAAAAAAAAGCTTTAAAGGTATTTTCTTGTTTGTTAAGATCGTAGGAATATTTTAAAAACGTTTAAAAGAAAAGTCCAGAAAGTTCAGAAATACCGAAACTATAAACACGAAATGACAGGTTAAATCGTAGTTATAATAGTCAATCAGCTGCTCATAGTATTATTATTTTTAAAGTGTTGCCAACCTATTTCCAAGCGTAGCGTACACGGATTACGTGCATAATAGAACCACGCTGTTTTGTGTTGTTTCGTTGGAATCCTGATGTGCGGCAAAGTATAAACCGTACGGCAAAGTATAAACCGTACGGCAAAGTATAAACCGTACGGCAAAGTATAAACCGTACGGCAAAGTATAAATATGCAGCAATTAGCAGCTTTCTTTACTATAAACAGTACAAGGAAGCCAACTTTGTCAGGTGACTGTAGGAAAAGACTATTTACTTTTTAAATAAAAACATATGACCATTTCAAAACTAATGTAATTTTTTGCTAAGCCTTCTATTGAAAGTTCAAGTTTACGTTGATTGTAAAGTTTTGGTCGTTGCAAATCGAAAAAGTCGATGAAACAATAAAAGAATTTTAAATTGGCAATATAAAAATGTTTATGGGAAACATTAAATTTTCACCGTAAACATTATTTTTGCATGGTAAACAAAAATTATTGTTTTCTGGTGATAAACATAATTACGAAAATAATACAAAACAACATAGACTACATCATCAAACAAAAGACAAATGTTAAATTTAATTTAAAACTTTATTAAACTGTATTACTTTTAAACTTTAAATATCTTGGGCATTCAAAATGCCCCTTTGCGCATGCGCTAGACAAAACTCCCGCCGCGGTAGTCTCAAAAAATCGCTCAGCAGGCGGACGTGGTGGACACTACCGCACGCCCGCGGGCGCGAGGTAGTGCGGTGTGACTTGGCACATTTGATAACATGGTGAGCGATTTTTCAAAATTCGCTCCCGCCGCGGGAGCGAGCTCGGTGTGTCTTGGCCTTAAACTTAGCTGTTTTATTAGCCAGGATTATTTATTAAAGCCCAATGATCAGTAACAGATGGGTCCAGTTTAGAACCTTTAAAAAGCTACTGACTTCTCAGGACTGGCTACCTTTTGATTGTTAGGCGAGCACTATAACCAGTCAGCTACCCAGCCGGTCAAATGGCATGGATGCCAGGTTTTATATTTTTAATATTTTATATACTCTATTAACACAATGGAAAAATAAGCTCCTCTATCTCTTTGTGTGGGGTAGTGAATTTGGAGATGGCAGTCTCTGTTTTTGGCTTTGTAATTTTTTGTCCCATTAATTTCTTAAGCAGAAGGAAGCCCCAAAAAGGTTGTGCATTAATTGAGCCAAAGAGTTCCTTGCGCCAAGCCCTCAAAGGGTCCCAAAAAATGTTCCTTAGCTGTGCTAAGCCCAATTCAAGTAGGGGTGAGTTGTCGGCAAAAGGAATAACCTTGTCATCCTAACCTATCATAACCTAACCTAACCTACTCAATTATACTGTTAAATAGGGCCGCTACTTGCGGCCCAGTTAACAAACTTACTGGGTGGCTCCCTCGAGTAGTTGCCGCAATGCAGGAATACCTGACAACTTGATTCAGGTCAGTTGGCGCAATTAATGCCCGTCCCCCAAAAAGATTGCAGGAATAAGAAGGTAGTTTCAACAAATGTATAGTTTCCTCACAAATTGCTGATATGTTTAGTGGCCGAGCACCTGACAGCGCAGCACTCAGCCATCAAGATGCTCCACAGTCGAGTGAAGCTGGTGCTGGAGTACGTCAAGGCGGTGCAGGCTGGAAAACTCGCTGTTAACCACGAGATTTTGCGGGAAGCCTACAGTCTCAGTCACCGACTACCTGTGTTGCAGTCGGACAGGTTCACTATGGACTTTTACAACGTAAGTGTGTTGTCACTGCAGTAAATAAAGCTGAAAAATGTCTAATACCCTTCTGCTGTTGCAAAGGGGTGTGGCCGTATTATGCATGATAGAGTGTGCTATGATCACAAGAAATAATCACTGGATTCTATATTACAGGTTGTCCAGCCGAGAAAATGAGGAATTGTACTTGAATTTTGACAATGGTGAAAAAGTCCATTCTGTGTGACTTTTGTATGGGTCTGGAAATTACAGAATAAGCCTATGGGCAAAACAAAGTAAATAATAGTTAGGATGGGTTTTATATCATATCCTAATTGTTTTACAAAAATTAGATTTGAGATTTGGATATTTTAAAATTAGTTTTGAGATTGAAAATTTCTCTATTTTACCATTTCCAAGATTCACAAAACTCAAATGTTTATATGGATTATTCTTAAATTGGTGTTAATTTGGGTTCTGGGTTTTTTAAAACATTTTTAGTGTAGCCTACAATATAAACTTAATTGCCTTTTTAGGTCAAGTTTTCACCTGAAAATATTGAATTTGGAACCTTTGAAACCTGGCATTTCCCTTTAACTCTATTGTCATGGTTTGCTGGTCACCCTGTACTGTACTGCCAGCCTGTTACTGTGCGTAATGTTGAGTGGAAGGGTGCCGAGTTTGTGAAATGCCGAGTTATCGGAAACTAGGGTTAATAATAAGAACAATAAAATTTTTAAGCTTTTTAACCGGACTCAAAAAATCACTAATTTCCTGAGCCAGGTGATAGCCGAGTTATCCAGACTGTCGGGGTATTGAATGCCGAGTTTGCGGGACTCTACTGTACAGGGTTAAAATAAGTACGTTTCTGTAATCCGTAATGTAAAATGCTTTAGTAAAAGCAGTTGTTTAGTTTAATGTATTTCCTAACCCTTTATAAAATTTTTGCACCTGAAACAAAACACTGTATTATATAGAAAATTAATTTTTCCTACAGTCACCCGACAAAGTTCGCTTCCTTGTACTGTTTATAGTACAGAAAGCTGCTAATTGCTGCATATTTATACTTTGTCGTACGGTTTATACTTTGGCGCACATCAGGATTCCAACGAAACAACACAAAACAGTGGTTCTATTATGCACGTAATCCGTGTACGCTTCGAAATAGGTTGGCAACACTTAAAGATAATAATACTCTGAGCAGCTGATTGACTATTATAACTACGATTTAACCCGTCATTTCGTGTTTATAGTTTTGGTATTTCTGAACTTTCTGGGCTTTTATTTTAAAAAATAGTTGTTTAGCCTCTGGATTACTGTATTATACTTAAAATGGTTTACAATACCTGCATATAGTAATCCTTTGTTGCTGATTTTGGCAACTAGTTTTGGTTCATTAGTGAACCATCTTCAGGCCTCAAGGTTTATTTTTAACGTTTTAAAAACATTCCTACGATCTTAATAAACCAGAAAATACCTTTAAAGCATTTTTTTTAGGCGCGGAAACCACTTCAAATTACAAAAACATATGGAACTATATTCTCAAGTCGCGGAGCACATTTCTTGCCGAGGAAAAATAGCGGAGTGATACGGACCGGGTACTACTTTCTCTAGGGCACCTATTTGCGTTGCCAGCTGAACCTAAAAACGTGTTGTATAGTGTTTAAAAGACTAATTATTTATATGCTTTAAAGTGACTGTACTTACTTACTTACTGCTGGGGCGCTACAAATCGCAGTCGATTCTTCGCCTCGTAGAGTAAAGTGACTGTAGGAAAAATATAACGTGTAACACGAGTGCAAAAGGCCTATGCTGCACTCGAGGCTCGTGCGTAAACATTGCTCTCGTGTGCAGCAAAGTGCCACTTTGCCCACTAGTTACACAAATAACTATTTCCTACACACCGTGGTAATACAAAGGCTATTTTTAGCATATGAGGGGTAAACCGAAAAAAATGGTTAAATCCGAAACAGCCCTCCCCCCTTTATTTCGGTTAACCGGGTTCTACTGTACTCAGATTTTAGATTTCACAATTCATGTAATTGACGTCTGTGAGAAATCTTTCTGAATTATAGCCATCACTGCACTTGTTAGATTGATGAAACACATACTCTACAAGTTATCGGACACAAATCCTACATGTTAGGCCTAACTGTTATTTTCCTTGTTTTCCAGCAATGCAATGACGTCGGTCTGATGACGTACTTGGGCACCATCACGAAGGGTTGTAATGACATCAACCAGTTTGTCACCCGGTTCAACACCCTCTACGACCGGTTGGGAGTCAGCAGAAGGACTCGAGGCCTATTCTTCTAATCTTGTTGTGATCTATTTTTTAAGGTTAATATTAAATGTAATTTATCATCATATTGTCTTTGGTAATACCTTTAATACCTTTTTCCATTTTTTTTGATAATAGAGGTATTGTTATCCTCATGTGCAAGGGTCGGCTCGAAACTACCTGGCATCATCCATGTTGTGCATGCTATTGTTTATACTCTGTCTGATTTTAATGTGAATTTAATTGAAGGGCAAATTGGTTTTCCCTTGCTTTCTCCCTGGCCCTGCCACCACCACATACTAGCCTACAGCTGATTCTTACTATTCATAACTTTACAACAGGTGTCACTTTGTTTACATTTAGTGGTTTAAACAACATTGTGATTATTCTGATGGTATTTTGTGCAGCTTAATATTATTCAGTCTGAGTTTACTTGATTGGTGTTAATTATAAATGGCCAAAAGGTGCCAAGATATTACAACCCAAACTAAAAACACAATTAAAATGAATATTCTAGTTTTATTCTGTGGTAGTTCAATCATAAGTGTACATGTTGCTCGAAATCGAGCAATTGCAAAGAAGTACAGGAGTTTATTTATAAACAAATAACTTGTTTAAAAACTAATAACAGTCATAATTTCCAAATATGACGGGAAAAGGTAAGCTTACAATTTAAGTCAACATAAAAAGGCTGTCAGCTTTTATAAAGTACCGTACCTAAGCTATTTAGCAAATTTTTAGTTAATAAGGTGTAGGCTACTTTAAACTCCACAGGACAGAGTTAGGCAAAAACTGGCAGAACTCTGAAATGGTGTTATTTATCATAGGCTTACTCATATGCCAAATCCTTAAAATAAAAATTCTATAATTAATAACTTATATCATCCAAAACTATACACATTTTTAATACAACATAGATAATTTACACATTGACCGTTTACAATTAACATATGTTCTTCTTCTCACTTTAAATTTTTCCTTCGCAACGGGAAAAATCTGTTTCAGATTCATTGAAATAGATTCATAATAAAATATCAATCATAAAGTTTCAGATTAAATAAACCTACCACATAGTTGTTTTATTTTTTTGGATCAGCTGTCTGAAATTGTGAAATAGGCATTTGACAGTTCTCGTTGTTTACATTTAAATGTCAAAGTAAATGTAAACATTGTGAATTTTCTCATGCTTCCATGGAGACCAATTATTAATATTTAATTTCTGACAACAGCTGGAGTTTCAAAACAATGTTTGTTTAAGGGCCCCAGGGCCTCACTCCCTAACTATTTACCTAAAAAGAAAGTTTCCTGCACAACTTCACGTTATGCTCTTTCCAATGACACCGAAAACATGTCAATCGGTTCAGTAGTTTCGGAGGAGCAATTGTCACAAAAATCCTGCTTGCGTATTAAATAAGTACCAGATAAACAAACGCTTCTTAAAACACGGTCTGCAATATAAAACAGATGATTGTTAAGGGGATTTCAGTGTAGAAAAGGGTAAATGAGTGGGAGATTTCCCATGATAGGGAAATCATAAATTGAATTCCAACCGCACAATTTTTAGACAGACTATAGTGAAGCATGACATTGGTTTGTTACTCAATAGACACTGAGATAATTGACATGATTTTATTTTTAATCTTGACATAACCCAATGAATTGTCAGTGAAAGATCAATGTGGCAGTGAGATGCCTTGTGTAGCTTGGTTACTACATAAACAGCTGTTCTAATCAGAGCAAAACAGACCTAACTGTCAACACTCTGATCAGTGTGTACATATACACCAATGAATACAAAACCTGTAAGAAGTGCATTGCCTTTGTTAAAAATTCAGTTTGGGAATATTTGAATTTTGGATAGTTCCTGTGGCGGCCGCTATGTAGATTATTGCGAGCGTGCGGCCAAGTTAGCTGACTGAGAGGGAGTGAGATGAAGAATCGGCCTAGAGAGAGAGGTAAAGAGTAGTGTGGCCTATCCTAGCAGCGGCCGCGTGAAGCTCATTTTGGCGGCAAAATTGCAATCTAACTATAAGCATTTCGCTTAAAGGGTTTGTATTCATTGTTTACACTCAGCTGTAGCTTAAAGCTAGGAGAGGTAGGATTTAAAAAGTAGAAAGATAAGAATCAGTAAAAATATTTACTATCACATAAAACAATTACAGCCATAATACAGATAACAGCAGTAAAGTGGAATAAACATAAAACAATAAATACAATATATACAATTTGCATGTGTATTTGGTTTGTTTTGTATAAAATAAAGAGTGTTGGTCATCTTTAAAGTGGAACAATGTGTCATACTGGTAAAGATGAGACATTTATCATGTAACTTTATGTAGATTAATTTTGCTATCGTAGGGTTGCATTATTTATAGTTTTGCTTTCGTAAACTTTTTTTATCTATGATCAAATGTAGGTAATTTTTTTTATACAACATGAGTTTTACAATCAAATAATCTTATACAACATGTTCTTTCCTAATATATTTAGTGGATAAAATAAGAAAGCATTGTATAATTGAAAAATGTGTTTAGTTGTGTATTTAAAATAACTAATATTTAGTATTTACAAATAATAGTAAACTTTAACTTCCAACATTAAAATTTGAAATCCACAATAAAAAGGTATAAAGCCAGTTTAAATTTTTAAAAACACTCCTTAAGCGACAATTTCACCAAAACTATTAAAATTATGAACACTCGTGATCCGGAGTATTTAATCAAATCTTAAAGATGGATGAGGTTAAAAAAAACATTAAAATTCCCTGAGACTTTTAATTTAGTTCTATCAAGGACACCACATTAGTGTTAACACTTTATCATTGTAAATAGCTACAAAAAGTTGTGACACATCTAAACTTGTACACATTTTGAATTTCAATTTAATCTCAAACTACTGTTTTACTATGTGAAGATTATTTTATACTAACTAAAAGCCTAATATTTCATTGATCATTATCTAAACTAATAACAAATTGAATTTCTAAAACTGAATCTAACTCAATTTACTAATGTGAGCTGCATATTTATAAAAGGAAATAAATCTACTAAACAACATTGCAATTATGTTTACAATAAAATAATGTAATGAATATTTAACAAAATTGTATAAAGCTAAATAATCTGATGTACAGTCAACAACGCAGATCTGAGTTAAAATATGACTTAAAGTAGGTTAATACTAGCTCGTATGTACAATGAATAGATGCGTTGCATGGATAAAACTCTATAGTCACTAGAGAATGAGTCATTAACACCAGCTTGACAAAAGAACGAGTCTTTCATGGATCGAGTCCTCCACACCAACTTTACACCAGGAACAAGTATTTCACACGGCGTTAGTGCGAGCGGCGTAGCCAAATGACAACCTGCAAGAAAAACCATAAGTTGATAATAGAGTTTTGGTGGAGATTATTGTAAAACTTGTCAACCCTTTGAACCGGATTATTCTGTGATTTAATTATCTTTTCCATCATTTTAAGACAGGGTGGCCACCTACTCCTGGAAAATTATTAATTTAACTGTTTGAAAAAAAATCATCCATCACATAAAGGTGACGTAAGGTCAAGAGGTTTCACTGTACATAAAATGATTCTGTTAGTGTATACAATCTATACATATAGGCCTAGTTTTTTAATTGATATTTTTTAGAAGTTGGAACAGTGTATGAATTTATCTACCTCATAGACTAAATATTCATGTCGGCAAAAGGGTTGGGGCCTTCTACCCTAGATGTGGACACATGGACCTCAGGGTTCACTTCCGCTACTGCTTGAACCTCTCCTGAAACATGGGAAACACACATTTATCATATTACCACTCAAATCATTTTATTAATCTATTAACAGAGATAAAGGTGAACATTTTAAGCTGAAAACTACACATTTTAGTTCAAAAATAGTGTCTTGGGCTAATGTGCCAGACTTAGTTGGTTTGAGACCAGCTTCCTGCATTATCTTTCACTGTGGTCGCTACTGGCTGGTCTAAAGCAGGAAACCCACCAGTCCAACAAGTCTCCGACGCCTTCCGTACTTTTTCAGGCCAAAACCCAATGGTCCGACAGACTCCGTCAGTAACCGACGAGGAATTGGATTTTTCTGGCTTTTTTCCTAATTTTGGCTGCTAGAGTAAGAAGTCGTTATTTGTCCATCCGATAATTCTTTGTGCGCATAATAGTTGGTCCACAATTTAAGAACCAATCACAACTCGAATACATAGAACTTACATCATTGAAAGCATCAGAATATGGTCAGGCTGATTTTATAACCTACTGTATAAAGAATTGCTAAGATTCAAACACTATATATTTGTTTATACAATGTGTTGATACACTGTATTGGACATTGTCGTCAATACTCATGACACACTTGAAGCTAGTGAAGGGACTAATCTTGGCCTGGTGCACGCTGCAGACTGGAGAAAAAGCCGATTCGACGTCCAACAACAACACCCCAGAGAGCAAAGTCGTCGGATCGGAGAGCGTCGGACTAGTTGGTTACAGTCCATTTAAAGCCATGCAAAGTAATTTTGTCGGATCGGAGAGCGTCGGACTAGTGGGTTTCCTGCTTTAGTGGCTTGTACCAATAGCATTTCTTCACTTTCTTCAGATTGACTGTGAGATCAGTAGTCTATGGTGGGTGGTGGGGAGCAGTGAGGTTAATGTAAGACAAAAATAATTATGCATTATGTTGGAGTGTGGACGGTTAAGAAATCCCCCAAATGCGGGACGTTGTGAGAAATTCCTTGATAGATTTTCTCCTAGCTAAGACCAGCTGGATCATGAATCAATAAAAGGTAAAGGCAAGATTTTTATTAATCTAATTTTTTGGTCGTCATATCAAATTCATTGCCAGACGATCCGTCAGTTAGTAAGGTGTCTTACCTGGCTGTTGTATGGAAGGAGCGGCATTGGATGGTCCTGCATCTGTGTTATAGACTTCTGACGCTGATCTTCGTCCACTGATCAATGGCCTCAATGTGTTACTCTGCAACCAACAGATTAACAACTCAATAGACATCAGGTTTGTATGTTTTGAAGAAATAGTTTATCTAGCTGATCAGGGAAAATCAGAATCCAGGGGCTCATGGATACAAGGTGCAATAATATAACACTGATATTCCGTGTAATATATGACATCTAAAGAGAGTAGATTAAAACAAAACGTCAGTTTAAGTGGCTGAGTTGGGATTGTTCAGCTGTGTCGGTTAGTCGTAAAAGTCGCAAAACATACGTACACAATACAAAAATTTAGATGATTCAATATATGATTCAAATATTAATTCACATACATTATATGATAGCATTTACTAACTGCAAAAAAAACTGTAATTTCTTTACAATAGTTTACTTCTTTTTACAAATTTTTCAAACTGCATTTAATCAGATTTTCTGTTATTTGTCTGCTCAGTTAAGTGCCCTGATTGGTAAAAACAGATTTTACTGCGACTAACACCATTGACTTTTGTTTAGCGAAGAAGACATCCCATCTAGATAGGCCAGCTGTTTCAAATTTTTATCAAAAAGACCTTAGTTGAATATTTAGTCTCAGAGTATTTTGCGGCGCAATCTGTCCGTGGCTCAATTCAACTACGTCCATTTTGATAAAAAACTGGCGACAACTTTAACATGCGGATGGATTGTTAAGTTCCAAAGTCGACGCTAGCACTTATTTACTATACAATAATAAATCTAAACAACAAACCAGGAAGGAGTTGGAGAAGGTGCCGCCCTGGGTAGACGTGTTGTTGGCTCGTACGAGAGGTGTTCTGTCATCAACCTCACTGTCGCTGTCACTGTCCGAGGCAGTGGGCCGCGCCTCGTCTGCAGCAAATACCTTGCGCTTGCACACCGGACACACACGGCGATTCCGGGTCAGCCACGGATCTATGCATTTGGTGTGATATGCTGTGAAGCACCACAAAACGATTTAGAGAAAGTAAACATTGCGTTGTTGACAAATAGAATAATATAGGCTACGTTAAACAACGTCCTACATGACACCTTGAGCAATCTTAAAAACAATACTCCAACCGTTTAAATAATGACTTTCACAAGTTTTTTTTTTTTACGCAGAGTAACGGACTATGTACCCAAAACACATTACATCCTCTCTCCAAAAACTGCATCAAGACCTGTTTAAAAACTCTTGAAAATATTTATCAATTCCCCAAATCGCAGGAAATTCTTTAAAACTCACCGTGTGAGCATGGTAGAATTCTCAGCTCTTCCTTCTCGATGAAATCATCCAGACAGATGGCGCAAGTCTCGTAAGGATCTCCCTTGCGGAATTTGGCGATGGGTATCTTACGTAGGGAGGAGGCAGGTAACCTGTGTCTTCTGGCTCTGCGGTAGTCTTTGATACACTTCACTACCTGTAGACAAACATCGGGTCTGAGAACACAATGTATTGTAATTGTAGAATACTACAAATAATTCATTCATATTGTTGGACTCCTTTACGACAAAACATGCTATCTTACTTCCATATGTAGGCCAACATTTTTCATTAACAGGTGCTGACTAGTTTCCCTGATAATACAACGTGTTGCATGTTTTGACACACGTAAAACTTTGATAATTTTGACAATTGGGAACGTCTGCCATGGTTGTGACAAAATTGAGAACAAAGAGAAATCGAGAGAGAGCCCCACAGCAAAATTAAGAACATCTTCTGCAGTTTCTGCAAAATCATGAATTTCCGACAACCGACAGTGCTATCTTCGCCAATGTTTTCTGCAATCTCAAGAGTAAATTTACCTAGGCTTGAAAGTCAAGTAGTACATGTCTAATAGTAATTAACCGACTCGAGCTTGGCTCAAAAATTACTTCCAGTCCAACCCAATCTCTACTGTTAGCCAGGTCCAACCCAAAAATTGTGAGAACTTACACAGCTCTATTAATCCGGACTCAATTAACATGAACTTAATCTAACCATTAATCTAAATAACCATTTGTTAATAGTCCAAAAAATTATCGAGCGCATTTTTAAAAAAATTCGCAAGGTATTCTATCCATGCCTGGGGCTTTATCAGCCTTGACCGCGGTCAATACATTCTTTAACTCAACTCTGGTAAACTCACAATATAATCTAGCATTATCTACTAGAGGTTCCACATAACTTATCGCACCTGCCAGGAGCGGGGGGTTTAGCAAACTGTTAAAATGTTTAGGCCTAACCCATTTTACTGGTGAAATATTTCCCACAATATTGTCAGATTTCATTTTTAATGCATTAATGGCTCGCCAAAACGTCTTGCTATCAGAATGCGTATTCAAATCTAATATAATATTTTCACAAAATTGTATTATGGCCATCTGTTTAATGTAAACTTGAAACAGTTCAGATGATTGACAAAAGAATTCAAGCCTATAGGACGAAGGACATTCACGAGATATCATCCAAATAAGGCACATCTAGAGGATAAGAGCTTTAAATTGATACCCTATAAGCGTATAAAAATTAATATTTAGGGGTCGATTTGCTGCACACAAAATCCAACAAATTCTTTTAATAATATGATATAAGTTAATAGAGTATTTACTTTTACTACTGACCATACTAACCATGAAGCCGAGCATGGTGCAGAAACAGAGGCCCACAACAACGGCGAACGGATACAAAAGGTGAGTATTGATATCAAACGGTGAGTCGTCATCCACAATTATGTAGTATCTGCAAAATATAAATTTAGTTTATAATGTTATACTCAACCATAAAAACACTTTGTAGTTTCATATGCAATAGTATTCATGAATAGCGTAGTATTTTAACTAAAAACTAAAACTAAGAAACATTGTAATGCAAGCTAGAGTGGGTTTAAGAAAAAAATAATACCGCCGCCGCAGCAATCCTGCAGACTAAGCAAATTTCCATTCCGAGGCTGGGTCTTACCCATGAGGTTAATAAATAGCTTATAGCTTATTCCCTATATTGAATATTTGCTAAAGGTGATGTGTGTATGTATAGCCAAGATGGGTAGCATGGGGTTCGTAATAAGGCCTTTGACCTCAGATCAAAGTACTGCTTAAAAACAAAATAAAAAGATACAGGATACGTTTAGTGAGAAAAAAATATGACAAAACTAAAAAATTGAAGAATTTTACTTTTTACTATTCATGGCTTTGAATGAAGAAAAACATGTTTTAGACAAAACATTTACTATTATTGAGACAACCGTTTACCTGTTAATTTTAAGAGATATTTCATAGCAATTTTGTAGTCAGTTAAATAAATATTTCATAATGTTGAAAGTTCAGAAGTTCGTCACCACTTTTGAATTCACCACTTATTCACACACAAGATAATTAACTTACCTGTACACTAGATCAAAGATTGCCAAAAATGAACTCACCCTTCATTGTAAATGTAGTTGTCTTTGAGTACTAGACCAGTTTGTTCACTGACAAACACAGCTGCAATATGAATTCCAATTGGGTTGTTCGCTGACATTGGTTCTGAAATCATGAATTTTCCTAAAAATAATTTAATCGTTGCAAATTAGACACTTAAACCATAAACATAGCAATTTTGTATAGTCAGTTAAATAAATCTATATATATAGACATAGACATGTTTTATTCATGAATTGGGTACAAATTATACAATGTACATCTCAATCGTCAAATACATTATATGGTCTAGTAGCATTTAAATCAAAACAAAAAATAATTAGTTAAATCTATTTTATTCTAAAGATTTAAACAAATAAGTCAAATAAAAATGCCATGTTGAATGAGATCAGGCAGACAGGAATTCTTCGGTACTGTAAAACTCACCTTCCACCAAATAATTTTTCAGTAGTTTCCCAAAACCATTAGAACCCAACCTTGAACTGCACTGCTTTACTTCTTCAGGAAGCCTATTAAAGAAAAATGGGCCCGAAAAATTTGCATTCCTTTCAGAAAGGGTCAGACGATGACATGGAGTACGAAGATCTCCTCCATGCCTAGTGGGGTATCTATGACATTGACCAACCGATGGAATATCCTTCAGATGATTTACTGCAGACATTATTGCTCTGTAGATGAATATAGAAGGCAAAGTTAAAATGTTGTTCTCCCGGAAGACTCCTCTGCATGAATGGAGTGGTGGTAAGCAATTGAGGATACGCACTGCCCTTCTTTGTACGGTAAAGACCTTATCACCATGGGAAGAACCACCCCAGACTTCAATACCATAAGTCATGACTGAGAAAAAACAACCATAGTAGACTGCTACTAACATTTCCCAGTCAAGAAGAGGTTGCAACGTCCTAAGTGCATGGCAGATGCAGTTCAACTTGCAACAAAGCTGTGATACATGATTGGACCATGACAACATTTTATCCACAGTTAGACCTAAAAATTTCACAACAGAGCACTCTTCTATCTCGAACTTATTCAACGAGACGGATTCAGGGATCTTATTGAGAGTTAGGAATTGCATGAAAACGGACTTATCGGAGTTTAGTCTAAGATTGTTCAGCGATAACCAACTTAAAAGTGAACTAACTGACTCTTCAACTCGAGATTGCAAATTGGAACATGGACCTCCAAACAGTAAGGTTGTGTCATCCGCATAGAAGGTTGATTTAGCTGAATGAAGATGTGCTGATAGATCATTAATATACACGATAAAAAGCAATGGTCCAAGAATACTACCCTGAGGAACCCCGAACTTGCATTCAGCGAGATGCGACCGAAATCCTGAAATCTCAACAAATTGCATTCTATTTGAAAGATACGATCGGAACCAAGCTAGTGGAACTCCTCGAACACCATATTTTTCCAGTTTCTCACAAAGAATATTGTGATTAACTGTATCGAAAGCTTTCGAAAGATCACAGAATACACTCAGGGCTGGTTTGCGCTGTTCAAGGTTGGATAATACATCCTGAACAAACTCAACAATTGCTTGAGTGGTTGAGCGACCCGCTCTGAAGCCATATTGGTTTTGTATGAGAATGTTATTCATGTCTAGATGATTCATTAACCTGGAATACATAACCCTCTCCATTACCTTTGATAAAGTGCAAAGAAGAAGAGCAACCGGCCTATAGTTGTTAACATCGCATTTGTCACCTTTCTTGAAGACCGGGACAATCTTTGCTGTTTTGTAAATATCGGGGAAAATACCTGATGACATGGAAGCATTAAACAGATAAACTAAAGGGTCTAAAATGGATGTGTACATTTGCTTTAAAAGAGAGCTGGATATTTCGTCAGAGCCTGTAGATGTTTTTGATTTAAGCGATTGAATTGCTTGCTCTATCTCTCTGGAAGTAACTGGAGACAAAAACAAAGAATGCATTGGAGGGGTCTGCTGGACAAGATTGACTGCAGTAGACGATTCACCGAATGTAGATCCAACAAAAGAACCTGAGAAATGTTTCGAAAAAAGATTTACTACTTCAGAAGGTGACTGAACCAATGAATCCTGGGATTTTAAGATGGGTAAAGAAGAAGGTTTCAACTCACAGTTCTCTCTACGAACAATATGCCAAAGGGCCTTTTGCATGCAGTCAGCTTTCTCTAATTCACATGAGATATCTGTACATTTTTCCTGAATCAAAAGCCTCCTGAACAGTTTTTTTCTCTCTTTCAAAAGTGCTTTCAAGGCTGGATCCTTAGTATTTCGGACGAGAATACCCAAATCGACATTACTATTGGCAAAATCTTTCAACTCCTTACTCAATGGTTTTTTGTGTTTCCCCCTTTTTTTCTTAATTTTCTTTAAAGGAAATGATCTATTAAAACATGTTTGGACAATACCATGAAAAAATTTGAATTTACTGTTTACTTCATTGACCTGGTGCAATCTACTCCAATCTACCTGAGACAAAATTTCCTTAAAATTAGAAATATTACGTTTACAGAGGGATCGTTTCTTAACAAATAATTCTGTTGGTTTGCAATTGGTTCTTATTGATACTAGCTGAGAATCATGATCTGATAATGTGTTTATAAATGAACGACATGAAACTATTTCAGTGTTTAAATTTGTAACAACATTGTCAAGGAGGGTTTCACTGGTGTCAGTGATTCTAGTGGCATGATTAACCAATTCACGTAAATTGAAAGATAAAAAGATATTTCTTAGCTTCTCAATACTTGGATTAACAGAATTAAGAAAATCAATATTCCAATCTCCACACAGTACAATTAACATATTATTTTTCAATAGATTATGAATTAACTTTTCAAATGAGTTAATAAATTCTCGTTCATTATTGTGTGGAGGTCTGTACAAACAAACAATTAAAAAATTCAAGTCATCATTAAAAACAATACTATTTACAATTTTAATATTTACAACGCAAAATTCGAAGGAATTGGCTTTACATAGCTTCTGAACCATGTTATTTCTATAATTTGACACTTTAAGATTAAACATACTATGGTTGTTATAGTAGATACAAACACCACCACCTAAACCTGAACCTCGACAAAATTTAGAGACACAAGTAAAATTAGGAACAATAAGAGGCTCGTCCTCATGCAGCCAGTGTTCCGAGAGACACAGTATGTCTGGAGGCTGGCTCCAGGAGGCGCAAAGCTCATCTATTTTGTGTCGTGCACTTCTTATGTTGAGATGGTAAATACAAAAATCAGTTGACGTTAATTTGTCGGGTTCAAGTCTGAGTCGAGTTCCCTTTCTAAAAAATCATTTTCAAACGGAGATTTTGCAATTGCTGGCAACGGTGGGAAGTCATCATTGGAAGAGAATGTGGACTCTCTGAAGGAACTATTGATGTTAGGGGTCTGGCTTTCTCTGAATGGCTCTGATGATGATGGGGATGAAATACAAGTTTATAGGGGGATATAAAGCTCAAATACCACTGACTCATTCATTCACTCACTCACTCATCACGAAATATCAGAAACCATAAGACCTAGGAACCTGAAACGTGGCAGGCATCTTCCTTTTGGGTAGTAGACGCTCACTAAAAAAGGATCCAACCTAAAGGTGAGTGAGCGTAGCGAACAAACTTCAACCAGGACGTGATTGAGCCATGCGAACGAGATCATCTTGAAAATTAAGAAGTTAAACAGGGCAAAGCCTGCGGGTTACAGCTAGTCCTACTAATATTCAGTGTTGGGAATTAGCGCGCTACAAGTAGCGACGCTACAAGTAGCGACGCTACAGTAGCGACGCTACAGTAGCGACGCTACAGTAGCGACGCTACAGTAGCACGCTACTTTTTTTGTAGCGTTAGCTGTAGCTACGCTACTTTTAAGATTTTGTAGCTTTAGCTGTAGCTAGCTACATTTTTAAAGTAGTTGTAGCGGAATTGTAGCTACTTTTCTCGCTACATTAACATTGTTTGAGATAGTGAGTTTTATCATAACCTCAACCTTACGTGAAACAACCTCTTTCAAACTGAGAACCGAGATTTTCAAAAAAATTAGGCCTACTTTCTTGGCTTCATACAGCTGGTTGCAGCCGTTTCATTCCCTATTACAACGTTGTGTGGACATGGAGGCCATTAAATGAGTGTTATCCACATTTTTGGCTCTCATTTCCTTAATTTACCACTCTATACTATGATTACTGTCAGATAAAATAAAATCGCTAGATGGCTAGATGCAGACGACGTTTAAACGTTACCGGTGACAAGAGAAGCTATTGAATGCTTGTAAGTGATTGACAGGGAAATTAGTAATCAATTTAGTTTCTTTATTATATCAATAGTGTTTCAACTTGGGTTTTAATGGAAACCAACACTAAACCTTAAAATAATGGGAAAGCTGGTCAATCAACCTTTGCTTCAGCTGTTGATTGTGGTTCACAATCATCACAAGCCCTTCCTTAGTTAGATTACGAATATTTTTCAAGGGTTTACTAAATTAACAAGGAGGAAATTACCTGATGAGATTTAAGATATGCCTAGACTACATGATAATTGTAACAAAAAAATCTCCATATAACATGAAACTTACATTGAAAAAATAGCATAGTTTGCTCCTGCTAACAGCTCTTGTATAGGACTATTCCTAGGCTATGCTATGGTTTAAGACGAATACCAAAAGTTCCAAGTTCAATTATTAGGAATATATCCGTTTAGTCCTTGCAAGAACAAGCCTACTATAGCCAAGTTGTTACATAGCCAAAGTAGGCCTACATATTATTTTTACTTTACAAATTTCAACATGTTTATAAATTAAAAGCCGATTTCAGGATAAGTTGCTGAATATACTGTTTTCTGTACCAAATAGGTTGAAGCAAAATTTGCCCTATGCATAATGACAATAAAGGACGATTTCTTGACATTGAAAAGTGTTATTCATAGAACAAGTAACTTATCACTATGGTTAAAAGTTATAGCAATGTCGTTTTTAACATTAAAAGTAAAGAAAGGCAATAAACTCCAATTTAAGTAGGCTAGGCTCTGTAACACAAAAAGTATTTTTAAATAATCGTTTTACAGTTTTATTATTGGTCTTAATTGATGATATAAGACATCTATACTATAAATGAATCTATATTAAAGAAATAAAATTAGCTTTTAAAATATAGTTTGGATGTATGTCCTTTGAACTTAATGAAATTTACATTTAAGATGCTTAAAAATAATGCAATATTTAAAAATAAGTAGCCTACTAAATATGATGGGACACCCAACTATTTGGTTCTGTTGTTGTAATGTTAGGTTTATAATGCCAACAAATTAAATACAATCTAGGAATAATTTGTTTTCCAAGTAATGTTAGATACAATACTGACATTTTTTTAAATGTTTGTTCAATATGTAAATGTAGTTGCAATTAATTTTACATTCACGTAATATGCGTGGAATAAAAAGTAACGTCTTTGGAAAAGTAGCTAAAATTGTAGCTGTAGCTACATTTCATTGTAGCTGTAGTTGTAGCTAGCTACTTTTTCGTAACTGTAGCTGTAGCTGTAGCTAAACTACTTTTTTGGAAATGTAGCAGTAGTTGTAGCTAGCTACATTTTAAAAGTAGCTTCCCCAACACTGCTAATATTATAAATAAGAAAGTTTGGATGTATGAATGTATGTATGTTTGTGACAAGTAAACACGAAAAATACTGGTCGGATTGGGCTGAAATTTGGCATGATGATAGCTCACATTCCCGATTAACATATAACAAATGTTATATGTTAACAGAGTGTTTTATTTATTTATGTTAGTGTTTTATTTGGGTATTTTATTGTTACCCGGCGCCTCCACCATGCGAGTCCCATGCCTCACTTTAAGTTTAAGTTTCCTAAATGTTACACTCGCTTAGCTTAGTGAAGAGGTGTTAGGTTAATGAGACATAAGACTGCTTAAGGGTGTTACTCAACGTGTAATGAACAAAAATTTAAATTACGAAAACAACAAAAGTTAAAAGTGTTACAACAGCAAAAGAAAACTTTGAAAATGCAAAAAACAACAATAATAAGATAAATAAATTTACAACGTTAAATTTACAAGAAAAGAAAATCAATTGAAAATTTAAAAGAATTAGTTACTGACAAATTACATGACTTGAATGTTTGACAAAACTTTAGTTATATATTTTATTCTTTTTACATACTGTTAATTGTCCCAGAAGCACACGCACCGATACACGCACTCCCAAACTCCCGATCTTCTTTCTCCGGTGGCCCGTGGTGATCTCCTCGATGTTTTCCTTCAGATCCTCCAGCTCCAAGAGTCTTGACCCCTCCATCTTCTTCATTAGCCCTTCTCATTGGCTGATTACCGATAGGGTGTGTGGCTTATAGGTTAACGGTGTTTCTTGGAAGTCAGCCCTAGCGGTCATCGCCTAGCTCACATCAGCTGGGAAAGGAATTTGTAAATCGATGCTCATGCTACTGTTCAACTCTGTTCACACCAACTGGTCGACTAAGTGTAATGTGAACAGAGTGTCTGCATAGATGAGCACCGTGGGTACGGGGTTAATCCCCTTTCTTACAATGCATATTCTTATCTCAAAAATCCTTTCGGGCTCCGACCCAGTGGCTCTGCAGTTCCCCATGTTAACCTTCTGAGTATTCATATTTAAAGGGAATTAAAGAATTTAGCCAGCTATTTCAACTAAAAGAGTTGATTCTATGATATGCAAAAGCATTAAAAATTTATAAGATTTACCAACAGGGTGTAGCACTATTATTTTTTTTCATTATTTATGAAAACAGCTAATTTGAACTAAGCAGCAACAAAAAACTGTGATACACAATGAGAAATGTCAAAGTAGCATTGTTTACAGTTATGTTTATGTTTTTAATTTCATGAATAATTTATGATATTTTGCAAATTTTTATTATTCTATCTTTCTCTATTGTGTAGCTGAAGTAGTAGAACATTATGGCTATGGTAGATGTGTAATACTATCGCATACCGTAAATTTGAGGAAGCAAATGTTCTCAAACCGTGTTTTCTCACATCGCAAACGCAAAGATCGGGTATAACTGCAATAAGCATTTTATACTTATTTGCCAACCCCGTACGAAGGACGGGTACTCTGCTAGTATTTCATAATGTTGAAAGTTCAGAAGTTCGTCACCACTTTTGAATTCACCACTTATTCACACACAAGATAATTAACTTACCTGTACACTAGATCAAAGATTGCCAAAAATGGCAAATACTGCTGTATTTTTATTGTACTAGTAACCTAGTACAACTACTAGTAGTAGGCCTGTAGTAATTGTACTAGTATGTTTTAAATATATTTTAGTTGTAAATATTTAAAGTACAAGAGCTACTCTCAAAAATTGTTATTAAATGTGTTTTGAAGGTAAACTCCTTGACTTTTTCTACATGCACAGAAATTTAATTGAGGCATTGATCATGGCATACAAAATCTTTTCTATACCTTCTTTGTAGGAATTTTCCGCCTTCAAGTTCAACCATTGGTTTACAGCAGCACTGAGTTTATCATCAGTAGCAAGCTGATATGATATTTCACTGCTGGACAGATGGTATTAAGACTTGTACCACAACTTGAAAACTTGCTACCATAACCTTCTTCGAGGTTTTTGGTACGATTCAAAAGTCGTGCAGTTACGATGAGGAGGAGAGGATGCTTACTGAATATTTTTATTTTACGATTTTACGTTAAAAAAGGTAGCCTCGTTGAACGGCCACAATGGTTACGGTTTGAGCAATCTCTGACTCCAAAAAAAGGCTTTTCTTGCTTTTGTTTAGCCATTTAATAAACAAGTCTGTCACAGTTATTAGCTGTGCTATGCACGACAAACTTTGGTGAGTCGGTAGCTCAGCCTTTAGCGCCATGATCTTCGGGTGCAAGGTAGCAATGTTGTTCATTTTTGTTTGTCCCAACTATTGTTCAATTTTTCACTGTACCCTTTGCTTTACTGGATACCTTCCACACACAAGCCCGACGCCGATGTGATGGGAAAATGCAATGTTAATAGAAACTGCCAACTTCTTTAGAAAAAACCTGTTTAGTTTTGTACAATTATTTCTAAAACGCCTTGAATAAGAGGTTAGCTATACAAAATATACATTATGTGTACAAATACACTATTTCACATTTAAAAAGTTAACAAGCAGCAAGTAAAAAGTCTTTTAGACTCTGACTAAAGAGAAATTCATCAGTACTCTTAACATATCATCACCAAACTAACCTAGTTCGCTGGAGTTGACATTGTGTATGATTGCAATGTCGAAGTTGGCGGCCTGTGCGTTTCGCACCTTGTCCTCAAAAAGGCAGCCATACCGCTTGATAAGAACAGCCCAGCGGCCGGTAAAGTTAGGTATTGAGAGATTGGCTCGAGTCATGTTAGAACAGGCATCAGGTGGGTCTGCGTACACTAGGAATGCCTGAAATATTTCAATTTATAAGTAATTAAATATTTTAAATGCTCATTCTGTTTAGTTTCTTCCATTCATAATTCATCGAGATTTTAAAATCTAAAGCTGTTTTTATTTTAATTACTGTGAAACTGAGCATAACCCAATGACATTGAAAGGGACCAACAAATACCTAATCTGCGGCAAGAAACTTCAAACCTAACATTTTAAGGCAAAACTACTGTATGTGTTAGCATTGCCTATGGAGAGTAGTATAAATCAAAATATTCCCACGTAAGGGGAAGCCAGTTTGGAATGAAAATAAGTGAAAGTTCCTTCACTACTTATTTGATTTATTTATATATATTGCAGCTGATTGACGTTTTAGCAAACCTCAGCTGTTGAGCTTTTGTTTTAAAGGATCAAGCGGAGGGGATAGATTTCTTCCCCTTAAAACTGCCTACATTTTGAGAGCAGAGTATAGTTCAATTGAGTCTGAGCCACTGAGGGAGTGAGCAGCTGTTAATTGCTGATTGCAGTCACATGTTACAGACATGTTACAGTTAATGTCAATAAAGAAGGATTTTCATTTCATTTCATTTCACGTGTTTTATGTAACATTAACAATCTAAGTATCAAAAACTTAGGGAGGAAATAGGTAATGAACTGTTCAGTAGTACCATAGACTAACCAACACAAGTAGACTTTGTAAATTTTGAAGCTTGTTTTTCGTGTCTAGTTCATGTATGACATTGGGCGCTGGTGTTAACAAAATTTTGTTTATATTATTTTAGGGTTAATTTCTTGATTAGTACTTTACTGTTTGGTTATATAACTAGGGGGCGAGCTATTGTTTATTATTAGATTGTATTATTTGGTTTAACGAGGTTTTAAATTACTGAAGTGGCAAGAAACAAATTGTAAACAAAACACGACATCTGCAGTATACCGTACAGAACTAACAATAAAATTGTCTTCTGCTGTTCCATAAGGATGAGAAATCTACTATGGGAGTATGTTTTATCTATCGTAGTACACTCTCTGGGATACATCTCAGGCATAACTAAATGAATGATTAATTAATCCATATGGGGTCTGACAAAAACTGTAAGGCACAAAAAAGAAAACCCAACAAAAAAAAATCCTTAACACTTTGCAATTAAGGTTCATCAATACACACCCTAAGTCCTTCTGGGGGTATGGACATCCCAAACCTGGCTGGAACATCACGGAACTCCACATCCAACTGTCTATGTGTTGACCTTGTGTAAACAGTGATGTCAGCTGTGACGCAGGTTAGCCACGACGCCAACACCACCAAGTCAATCTGCACAATACATAGTACAAGGTGTAGTTTGATAGAGTAGACCTGTTCAGTTCAATGAACCTACTTTTTCAAGAACCTTGCTTATTTCACTTTAGATTAGTAAAACCTCTTATTGTCGCCAAATGGACCTGGAATCTGACTATGACAGTTAACTGTATCCTATAACAGAAACCACTTTGGGCTGCAACATTCATTTCATCCCCTTTTTACTAAGTAGATTTTTTAATTTGGCTCAGCGGTTTGTAAAAACACTAGATTTATCCTCCAGCCTTACTTGAGTAATTTGTGCTATATTAGGGTTGTATTTTTAAAAAATTAACTGAAGTAACTACTGGTAGTTGAGAATAAGTTGAAAAAACATTTTGGATATTGAGCCAATGAAAAATGTATTATATAAATAGTTTATAGTTTATACTAACAAAACAATCTGACCAATGTTTTGGCTTTTGGGCACACTGAAACAAAAAATCTCGGTAATCAAGGGCCAAACAATACCATAAAGACAACAATAATAAATCGCCTGCCAGGGAAATTCACTCAAATTAGGAAAACACTAAAAAAAAACTACCCTGTAGTTTCTCCCCAAAAAAGAATAGGGCTGGCTTATGTACTAAGGGTAACTTTTTAATGAGTTTTTTCTAACTTCACTCTACATCCTGTCTTATCATTGTTGCCTAAAAGTATATTTATTTGGACATAGAGCACATTTTAGGCCACCATCTTGAATCCACCAAATCACGATGAATATAGGTTTGTATGCAATCTGCAGTATTAACTTTCTTATTTGCTTCTTTCTAAGTATAACCGTCAGAAGTTAAATATTTTCACAAATAACAAGAGATAAACTTCAAGCTATTTACAAAGTGATTGTGTGAAATGCATCTCCAGTAAAAAAAAATTCTAACAAGTTTTAAATAAACAAGCACAATTTATTAAAAGTAAAAAGTCATAATAACTATACGTTATTCTTTAATACTTTTACAGTCAAAGCTTAGCCATTTAAAAATGAGATTTGGAACAGTCTAAATATGCCAATCTTGAAACTCTTATCACTAAGCCTCATGGAGTAAGATAACAGAATGTGAGAAACACAGATAAATACACTAAACTGGCCACAAAGCATCCTTAGGTCAAGTTTCAGAGCCTATACTTCACAATATTTAGGAGGTTTAAGAGGAAGTTCTCCCAACACTTTTTTGTATTTAATGTATGTAGCAATCAGCTGTTAGGTATTATTTTAAAAGTAAGGGCCAAGTGGAGAGGATAGATTTTTTAAATATTGTGAACAAAGTATAATTTCTTACATTATAAAAATTCTCACACATTTTCCTTACTGGCCACCTTTATTACTTTTCCCTTTACTGCAATTAAAAATGACTTAGCCTCTGCTATAAACTCAAAATATGAAATGCAGATGATTTTCAAAGTATATTTTTGATTGTGCCTAAATGAACATTGAAGGGTGAGTTTGTTTCTCCATTGATTGAGCAATGGATTAAAAATCCATGGCATTTTGTTGGTTCCTGTCTCACCGCTGATCAGTACAGTTTCATACTTGTATTGAACCGGCTTACCCCCCACTTTGCTTGTTAAGTTCTACCATAGATTATAATAACTGAAGTAGACATTCCATCTATACTTTACCAGTTATTTGTCTGTTTTATTTTACTCAAATAAATTGGTTGAAATTATTTGGAAAATAGTTAAATAAACCGAGCACAGAATGTGCTTATGAAAAAATTCTATGTCACCCTTTAGTTTTCTATATTTTAAAGTTGAGGGGCATATTAAAACGACCCTCAACATGTATATGGGTTTTTATATGGTATACCCGTTGTTTAAGTTTTTCTTGGTTAAAAAGAAGGTTTTGTGTAACAGAAATCATCAATTGACCGAAACACTGTCAAAAGTCACAATTCACTGAGATCATTTTAATTTTAAAGGACTTAGACCTTCAGCTACTCTCATTTTATAAACATTTATTTACAAAATATACATTATGTGCCCAAGGTCTAAATCCTGCAAGGTCTAAAACAGTACCAGTGGATGAGTTTTCTGCTTTGATTGTACTTTTAGACCTTCCGGGATTTAGACCTTCTGCCCGTTTAGACCATCAGTAAGTACAAACTGCAAATTGTGTGCCGAAGGTCTAATTAGACCTTCCGGGATTTAGACCTTCAGCAACACTCCCTTATTTTTCAACTGAGTAAACATCAGTTAGAGTTAGAGAGAAACATATCGTCTTTCGTTGATCAATCAACTATAAATTTCTTTTAAGAAAGTTTATGTCTAACATTATGTAGTAAAACTTTCCATAACAATGTATTAGCTGAATAAAAGATTATTAACAAAGTTATTTAAAGAAATGTGTTTGTCAGTGACAGTGAGGCAAAATCATACAAACTAGTGTACATGTTGCTCGAATTCGAGCAATTCCAAAGTATTACAGGAGTTATTTCAAAACGAATAACAGTCATATTTACAATGAGTTTAAAAGAGTCAACTCAAAGATCACCGATGTGTAACTCAAACCATGTTTATCTTCGTTATTGATAAACCTAAAGCATTCCGGCCGGTTTTCTCCTTCTCAAAATGCCTCGCTGTACAGGCAACACAGGTCATTGATAGAGGGCTAATTGAGAACGAAAAGTCATTTTGGGGTAGTGTTAGGGCGCATTTGTAACCTAATAGTTGAGATTGTCCAGGGTCAGGTGCTGACTTTAAGCCTACTATGCGCCACTGTTCTGTAGCTGCGGTCGTTATCACGATTGCGCCTCCTGTCTATGTTTCGTTGTCGTCACGTCGGAGGCATTTAAAAGAAAAAAAAAACAACAAATAAACAAATTATAGCTACACAAAACAACGATAAATGCAAAAACTTAAGTTACAATCATGCTAACACGATCCGTCATAGCGACACAAAGCAACGATAAATACACAAATTTAAGATACAACCATACTAACACGATCCATCTTGGGGGTTATGTTTACACAAACTCAAATAGTAAATAAATGTAAGCAATGCGTTTCATAGGATTGAAAAATAAATAACAGCAATTAAAGTATACAGCTGATCAAAATGTAAACAATTATGTTCTTCATAAGGATAACATGGGAACTTTAACAGCCACTGGGGCAAAGCCCAAGGGACTTTTTCAAAAATGCAAGGCCAGTTTGCAAATCTACGCGATACGCTCTTTCCAATGAGACGTCAACGGATAAAATCGGTTAAGAAATGGCGGAGGAGATCAACCGACAAAGTTTCATGTGGCGTATAAATTATATAGATTACTGCATAGAATGCTTGATAAGGTAATTCGCCAACACCAATGGTTCTTAAAATCAATGGTTCTTAAAATAAGTTTTCCCTTTATTCATAAATGCTAAGTTGAGTCAATAAAATACCAACTAGAGGGGAAATTAATATTTAAAAGCGCTCTGCAAAGATTTGTAGTGTGACGTCACATTTCACTCTTATCACCAAGTGTCACTCCTTAACTGAGATAACAAAGTTACAGACCAAACACTGGTTGTAATCTTTTGTTGTTACAGTGGAGTCCCGATAATCCGAACTTCGGTAATCCGAAAGTCCGCTTAATCCGAAACCAAAAAATAAATTTTAAAATTTTTTTTTTGAATTTTTGAAAATTTTTTTGAAAATTTTTTGATTTTTTTTAACTTTTGAAATTTTTTGAAAACTTTTGAAATTTGTTTTAAAACTTTTGAAATTTTTTTGAAAACTTTTGAAATTTTTTTGAAAACTTGAAATTTTTTTGAAATTATTTAGGAATTTTTTTTAATTTTTGTTTATTAAACTTTTAACACAGTTAGCTGTATCTCGTCAAAGTATTCTGTAGCGGCCAGGCAAGATAGACTTTTTTGTTGAGTATTTTAGTAAATATTTCACAATTTTTGTTATTAACATTTTTTATTTTCGTCCAGGGTTCCAATCCCCCCAAATCACAAATGGATTTTATGAAGTGATAATGCTGCAGCCACTAGGTCTAAGTAATCTAAAAAACAATCCCAAAAAATTTCAAAAATTAAAAAAAATTTCAAAAATTTCAAAAAAGTAAAAAAAAATTTTCTAAAATTTTAAAAAAGTAAAAAAAAAACAAAAAAACGTTTAATCCGAAATATTCGGTAATCCGAAATGGGCCCGGTCCCAACCATTTCGGACTAACGGGACTCTACTGTACCAGTTAAGAGGAGTTGTCTATGTGATTCACACTTGAAAAGTATTGTAAAAACTGACCATATTTTAAAAATATCGCCGAAATCCAAGTAGCTTATATTGATCATTGTATCCTACACTTAATGTTACAAGGTTTTCTACATATTGTTTTACAAATGTTTTATCAGTTTGGGGATCTAATTGCGATTGGAATAGTATAAATTTCACAGTGTCTAAAGCTATCTTTCATTGACAATCAATTAGTCTCATGATGTATCAAAGTAAAATTTTGGAAAAGTTTCTCAATGTCCATTACTTATTAATTGAATCTTATAATGCCCAAATCTTATGATGTAGGTATACAGCACTACAGTTTATACAAAAAAACATAAATAGCGTGAAAGAAAATTAACATAATGTCCTAAATCAAAACATTACTATGTCCAAAGAAAAGACCTTGGATCTGATGGCTGCAAACTTTTTTTTGGAGAACCATTCTCAATACAATCCACAACCACAGTATTCTTCTTTAAAAATATAAATATAAAACTTCTTCTAACACTATCTAATATATTTACAATTACACTTAGTGTAAACATCTACAAGACTACAGAGTAAAACTTATAAAATCTCTCTGGAACGTTAATGTAAAGGCCTATTTGTTCCTTAGGTCAAAACAATGTAAAACCATCATGTAAACCTGTCCACCATCATGTAAACCATCATGTCTAAAATGCCTGGTTTTCTATTAGTAGGCCTAAAGCCCAGATGTTCAACGTCGCGCCGAGGAGTTAACAACAATAGTAAACCAAAGAGTCACCGACATTCTGTTGTGCCGTGACTGTAATATTTTTTTGTTATATTTTTTTGCTAAACATTTTCCAGAATATCAGTTTTTTGTGCCCCCTGAAGGCCTGCGCCCCGATACACCGCATTGGTTGCATTGGCGTCTAGTTACGCCTCTGGGAGGACGGCACCACGGTCTGGGCCATGCTAGATCTCAGAAAAAATGTAGGCCTACTGTGTATTTTAGTTGTGTAGGGCCTACTAACCGATTTTTACAATCAAGGTACCGTTGGGTTGGTCATAAAATGTCATAATAGTTTGCACATCTTATGCTTTTCAGTACAATGACTTAGGTAGGCCTATTTTAAAACTAAAATATTTTGATTGGCTACCATTTTTGATTGATAAAACTTAGAAACTTGATAATTTGGACAAGGATTTGTCTGATCTGATCAGCCGGCTATTTATTTTTATTTATATTTTTTTTCTAAATTACTGCACGAGAAAATATTGTTCTTAAAACATAGGTAGGTTACTGTATTTTTGTATTTATATGACATTTTTATTCTAATAGGCCTCATTAGCCTAATTACACATCAGCTTTTACAAGAAAAATTGCTCACTTGTTGCAGTTGTTTATTAAGTATTTTTTTGATGAGCTTCTAATGGTCCTTTATTTTCACGAATTCGGAAGTGCCCTGGTGAAAATCTGTTGGGTTAGAGGGAGTACACTATATTTATCTAGAATGGTAGAAATGCATGATGGGGGCCTTTAGGAACTTACCTTATAGAGCATAATGATTGAGTCTATTGGATAGTTTCAAAGTAAAACTCTTCCAAAATTGGATTGCACATGGTGATTGTAACTGAGCGAAAATCCTTCTATATCTTCTTAGTCTGAAAATCAAAACAACATTTTAGACAAGTTATAAAATTAACAATGCGTTTAAGTTAAGTTGCTGTATGTGTGTAAGTTACATAATGTTTCAAACAGGCCAATAACGAACAGTGAGACACAGGGAAAGAAAGTGCATGGTGCTGAGCAAAATCAGTGTTGAGTAAAATTTATACTGTAGGCTTTACCTTACCTTACCTCCTTGGCCACTTGAACCTAAGAAGGTTTTTGGCCTTGCCAACAAGATGCCTCCACTGCTGCCGGAGTCATAAGTAATATACTGTAGGCTACAGTTTGAAATTTATATCAAATCTATGTATTTGGGTTCTCATCATAAAAAGGACCCATAATTGAAACTGGTAGTATTTTTGTAGTGATTGTGGAGAAAAACCACTTAGGCTATAAGGGTTTTATGGTGAAGCTCTGATGCAATTTCTCCAGGGTGAGAATTCTGAATTTGGGAACATCGCTTGAAATTTTAGACTTTAATGGGATTGTTAGTCTTCCGACAGCTGATGAGGAAAATATGCCATAAAAATATGTGTGCAAATGTCAATGTGTCGTATCCCTTTGAAACAGTAAACTCACTGAAAATCCTGCAATCATCTGAAAATGGTTGAAACCTTGGATAGAAGACCTAGGATTGGATAGTACCATAACAAATAGCCTACAAACCATTTGACTTTGACAAAATTATCTCAATAAACATTGTTTATAAATACACAGAGGATTTAAGCGTCCAGTAACCGAACGTAGATTAGGCGTCCGGCAGTGACATCAATGGGTTGTGGGGGCCCGGAACACCATTACCACAACGCTACAATTTATTCCATAGCTACCGTATCGGTGTCCGTGGTGTAGTGGTCTAGTGGAAAGAGTATTTTGGTTGATGTACAAAAGGTATCTAGATCGAATCTCATCAATGACATTAACTTTTTGTCAAAGATTTTGCTTAGAATGCCATTTCTTCATAACTGTAGCCTACGTCTTTTTGTAAGAATTTGAGGCATTTATAATTTTATTGGCAAATATTTACCGTATTTACACTGGGATATGATGTAATTTTTATATGTCTACTTACAGTATTTTTAACGCTGAATCCAAAAATACAATCAGTTTTGGTCGGAGAGATTCCTAAGTGGCAGTAGCGGCCGTAAAACGAAGGTTAGGATTACGAATCTAACAAGGATAATTTGAGCGGTACTGAAGGTAATGGTACTTTAATATGGCGTGGTCTGGACGGGTCCGTACCATTGTCCGTACTGAGTGAAGAGTGAGGAGTGAGGACTGGACTGAGTGAGAAGAGCAAACAACTGTTTATACTTGATCTAATGCGGAATGAAATCAAATCAATTCGTTTTGAAATCAAATGATCAGTTCATCAATCAGTTCTTATTTAGGCATGTGAGGAAGGTAGGTCGGGTTTTATGCGGATTCGTGACTGTATTAAGTGTTTTGAAGTGAGGTTAGATTAGGAAGGTAAAGGTTAGGTTATAATGAACTGATTCATTAATTTATGCAACTTCGAGACTGTTTTTGCACAATTAAATAGTGGGTGAAACACAATGAAATAACGATATCAAAAATGCGCCAGCATTTTTGATATTGTTATTTCATTGTGTTTCACCCACTATTTAATTGTGCAAAAACAGTCTCGAAGTTGCATAAATTAATGAATCAGTTCATTATAACCTAACCTTTAACTTACCTAATCTAACCTCACTTCAAAGGACTTAATACAGTCACGAATCCGCATAAAGTCCGACCTATCTTCCTCACATGCCTTTTCTTACATAAAATGCTATTTAAATATCAATATTAAGGTTGGGTTGGGTTAGGTTAGGTTAGGTTAGATTAGGTTACCTTAGTTTAAAATATAATACATAACTTATAACTTTCCTACTACAGTAATATATGCAGAAAATATTCTAACTTAACCTACCTTGCTTAATATTTTGGCCTATACAGCTTAGCTGCGGCCTTGTAAAACGCGTGGACTCGGTTGTTGTTAGGGTACCTTTTCTTGAATTGGAACTCCGCCAGGTACCCGATGAAATGTTTGGACCTTACCCCGTATTTGGGGATGTGGTCTCTAACGTCTCTCCAACACCGCTCAATTCGGTTTGTATGTGCACCCGTGACGGGATCAATAAAGTCAGTACTGTGGTTCACAGTTAAATGTTGGAAGCCGTACTCCCGCAATCTGCTGTACGACTTCCAACAGTCGGTAATAATCGTACTGCCGGGCAAAACCCAGCGGCGGATTAGTCGAATTAGCGTGCGCCTTGAGCGGTCAGGAACGGGGATTAAAAATGTTTTGGTCGAGCCTCTCTGCACTCCCCCCAACACCCAGTTTCCCTTCACTCGCCTCCCTCGATTGTATTTACGTTTACCAAATTTCGCCTCATCAATTTCAACAATCTCACCTGGCCCGCCTAGTCTTTCAGAATTTGTTACACAGTCGTCAATGTACACTTCTCTAATAAACGAATACCAATCGACAACAGTTTTACTTGACAGATTGAGATTTGTTTCCAGGAATCTTTGCCGGGGTGGGTCAAAAAAAAGATAATGATTGACTAATCGCCAAAGCGTACGAATTTGTAGTCTGGATTTGCCGAAAAAGGTGTCTACTCTGCAAGATCGTACCCACTCACACCTTTTGGCTTTCTTCTTGTTAATTGAAACTCTGTTCCAGCATCTGAAAAACCACTTATCGTTCAATTTAATGTTTGAATGACACCTCGGACAATTCGTTTCGTTATTTACAACCCCGTGCTTAATTAAAAAACTTTTAATTTCATTATCATCGAACACAACCGTTTCATAAAAATTTTGGTCACAAGCATTGCAAATATCAGCCATTACTAATTTCTAAATCGGCAACAATAATTAAACTTACTTGATAATTAATAAGTTGCTATTGCATATGTTATTAATCTGGATCTATTTTCTGGGCGCATTTTAGCGTAATAATCCATTGGTTGGTTAGCAAACTACATTACAGCAATTCAGTGGCAGTGACAGTTGACAGTATCAATTTGGCATTTGGTGATGCGGTCGTGTTATTGTATAGGCTAAAAATCCTCGCGATTTACGATAGTAAAATTACATTTATTGATTAATGATACATGTTGATTTTATTAATAGTTCATATAGGCCTAAGTTATTGTTTTTGTGTAATTGTATTTTTGGAACGTCTTAGAAGTCCGTCTGCTTTTAGAGATTGAATCATTTTAAAATGGTATTCCGATTATGACATGTCATGTTTGGTTTTGTCTGTTTAGTGAATGTAAACAACTGTCAGCTGTTTCCACACCACAAACCTTCCACCCCTTTTAGTGTTAGTCGCGACTAGAACTTGGACTCGTCCATACCACAAATCTAATATATAAAATTCTCGTGTCACAGTGTTTGTCTGCAAACTCCTCCGGAACGACTTCACCGATCGTTATGAAATTTGGTGTGTAAATTCTGTAGGTATGCGAATCGGACGTAAACTATTTCCTGTTTCGAAATTCTTAAAAGGGCTCCGCCCCAGTGGCTCTGGAGTTTCCCATGTTAACCTTATGAGAAATGGAATTAATGAATCTTAACAGCTGTTTCAATTAAACAAGTTGGTTCTGTTCTATGATGTTCAATAGCATTAAAGTTACAAGGATTACCAACAGGGTGCAGCACTATTATTTCTTTTACATTTATGACAACAGCTAATTTGCAACCAAAAGGTGAGTGAGCGTAGCGAACGAACTTCAACCTGGAGGCGAGTAAGCGTAGCGAACGAGCTAACCTGGAGGCGAGTTAGCGTAGCGAACGAGCTCCAACCTAAAGGCATGTGAGCGCAGCGAACGAGCTCCAACCCAAAGGTGAGTGAGCGTAGCGAACGAACTTCAACCAGGACGTGATTGAGCGATGCGAACGAGATCATCTTGAAAATTAAACGTAACGGTACTTTCTTTCCATCGGTCTGTCTTAGGGGAAACCTATAACTTAGGCGATACGAAGTTCGCCGGGTCAGCTAGTATGTTAATATTAATATTAATTATATAACTGTACGACCACTTAGGAATCTCTCCGCCCAAAACTGATTGCATTTTTGGATTCAGCGTTAAAAATACTGTAAGTAGACATATAAAAATTACATCAAATCCCAGTGTAAATAGGGTAAATAATTACCATTTTATTTTATGAACAGAATTTAGGCCCTAACCTTCATTTGATTTTTTCATAATCCAGCAAGTTTAGTTAGTTAGCCTAGGTTAGGTTATGACAGTAGGACGCCTTTTAATCCACGTCCAGTATCCTCTGCCTTATAAATATTAAACAACTATGGACAAAACAAAAACAATGTGAATGTTAAATGAATTTGAAACAACTGTTTACCTAGGTCCAGAGATATGACAAGATTAAGATAATTGAACAAAATTAACCTTGAAGTTACACTGCACAGGGCCTTACTATTACTATAAATGAATATCTGGTAGCTAAAGGGTCAGCCTATAAAAAATTAGGCCTAGTTTACCCGAAGAATCACTAGGCCTAGGCTAAACCAAAGGAGATTTAACTTTATGATGAGGAGTTGATGTGATGATAACTTGATAACACAGACCTCGTGTGTTTACAATTCGTTTTACCTTTGTATACATTGAGCTACAGTGAAGTACCAATAAATGTCTGATAACAAGAAAGCAATGTAGTCATTGCAGGGTGATCCGTAAAACTACGATTATTTCTTACATATAAACACTTGACAACAACAACTGACTCTAACACTCACTCCCTAAATGCTAGTTAATTAAACTGCTAAAGGAAAACAATATCAGTCAATCTACGATCGTAATTATTATTAGAACAAATTAATGAAAGAAACTTCAGCCTTCAGAAATAACACTGACAGACATCACGATCCCTGACATATGACATCACGTTGTTACACAGGCACACAAACGAAAACGAGATCACAACCACAACATCAACATGAACAGGAGCAGGGTCACTTGGATTGGACCGGCCCAGATTCAACTTGTTTAATTAATTTATTTATTTATTTACGGTATAATCATTTTACAATAATTTAAATAATGCGTTAATTTGCTCAAGATGATAAATATAAATAAATAATAAAAGCAATACAATAGTAACAACAACAAAAATAACAATAAATATTAATAACTAGCTGTAACCCGCGGGCTTTGCCCCGTTTAACTTCTTAATTTTCAAGATTATCTCGTTCGCATGGCTCAATCACGTCCTGGTTGAAGTTTGTTCGCTACGCTCACTCACCTTTAGGTTGGAGCTCGTTCGCTGCGCTCACTTGCCTTCAGGTTAGCTCGTTCGCTACGCTAACTCGCCTCCAGGTTGAAGTTCGTTCGCTACGCTCACTCACCTTTTCGTTGCAAATTAGCTGTTGTCATAAATGTAAAAGAAATAATAGTGCTGCACCCTGTTGGTAATCCTTGTAACTTTAATGCTATTGAACATCATAGAACAGAACCAACTTGTTTAATTGAAACAGCTGTTAAGATTCAATAATTCCATTTCTCATAAGGTTAACATGGGAAACTCCAGAGCAACTGGGGCGGAGCCCGCAGCCCGAAAGGATTTTTGAAATAAGAATATGCCTATAATATGTTAATCGGGAATGTGAGCTATCATCATGCCAAATTTCAGCCCAATCCGACCAGTATTTTTCGCGTTCACTTGTCACAAACATACATCCATACATCCAAACTTTCTCATTTATAATATTAGTAGGATAAGGTAATAAATATGACAACAGTTGGTATATACATTTGTTTCATGTTCTTTTAGTTGAAAAATATAAATCTATATGGAATGACACCAACATAACAATGTTGACACATTATAGAACAACAACAATAATAACAACAAGTGTACAGAGACAGAGATAACCCTTGAGAAAAAATTAGTAAATTATACAACAATAACAATGTGTGTATACGGCAATGTGACAACAAGTCGTCTGACACTCTGTTCACTGATCACTGGAGGCAAATAATATATCCACATGCGGAGATACAACGTTGCCAAGCTCCTGGAGGCGAGCCATAGTTGACTTGGCGTAGTTGGTGCTATGTTGACCTCGTGCAAACCAGCAACATGTCTCTGGATCTTGTGCGTGGCAGAAGGAACATGGAAGTAGATCCTCCCAAGCAGGTCAGGGCAGTCTAAACGTCCATTAACCAGCTTGTAGAGAAAACAATATCAAGTTCATCACGTCTGGTTTGCAAGCTTGAAAGATTCAGTAGTCGGATACCACACTGACCGGATGGAACTTCAAGATAGCGATAGCACAGCCGGAACCCCACCAGTCTCAAAAATCTATTTATGATCCTCTGAGGCGATCTCGAAGGGCGACTTGATGAGGAGCCTATTCTACAGAGCAATCCTCCAAAAAAGGTCTCACATTACAACAGTACAGGGTTTTAAGTGTCCACAACTGGGAAAGATGTCTTTGAGGATCGAACAAAGAAGTCAAATCCTCTCAACATGGGCCTCACTACTTAATAATCAAAGAATAATCATTTGTTTTATAATCAAAGGCTCAACTTTAAAAGTCACTGGGGCAGAGCCCAAGGGACCTTTTCCAAAATGTAAGGTCAGTTTGCAAATCTACACACCTAGACTAACATTTTTGTATACAATACGTGGGGTTAAATCTTAAAACAAAAAAAACCCTTATTGTTCACAAAGTTTTATGTAGCGTATTAAAATGTAGATAGATAGATTTATCCGCCTCACGCACTGTCCGCCTCATACCCACGTCCGGGGGAAACACGGCACCAGATAGATGTGCAGTCGATGAAGCCATTCAAGAGTTTAAATAGGAAAGCAAGTACGTGTTTGTATTGGCATAACTTTAAGCATCGGCTTAAGAAATTACAAAAAAATTACCCCTAATGAAAAAAAAAACCTCTTAGGGTTTGTTTTGTCTCCGGAAACTCTTGAGTGTCCTATTGTCAAATAGATCTGTAATGAGATTTATAATTTATGCACACATCCATATCCTATCATGTGCCCCCCTCCCTTAATTATAGATTGTTCTATTTTGGTCACAATTATAATTTACAAAAATGTCTATCTTCTAAAAAGCAGTTTCTATATTTTACAGTATGGTTAAAAACTGGACCCTTGTTTCCCTTATTTTTTATTTTATGCTTTAAAATTATCCTTAAAAACAGGATTTTGTAGTTCTACTAAAGTAAAACCGGCTTTAAAAAAATTAAATATGAGGATTGCAATCTATCAGGGGCGTCATTTGGGGGGGCAGGTTCCTAGGCTGGAGAAAAAAAATATGCTGTACTAGCTAATATACAAATATTTTCTCCTGTCAAATCCTAAAAAGCACGGCAGACAAAAATCTTGCCTATTCTTCTACAGTAATTTGAAACAAAAATTTTAAAATTTTTATTTTTTAGTGTCTCAGTAGCACATTCAAATTAATTGTGTCAAATTATTTATTGATAATAAAATTTGATTTGCTTTTAAGTACTTAAATACTTATGTTTTATCATAGATAAAATATACTCCCCCAAGTAAAACTAAATTTAAAAACCAAATTAAACTTTTATGAACTATAGCCTATTCATTGCTATATAGGTCTAAATGTTGTACATGAGAATTTGGTCATAAATCTAATAACAAAAATAATATTAATACACCATATGAAACTATTGATCACGTTTCTTAGATGACCAACTTAGCAACATATTATTGAGTGAAAATTTAAAAACGTACGTTTTCATGTCCCTGGCCTTTTACTTCGTAGATACTGGATTTGTAGTTTATTATTATGTGTTTTAATATTTTTTGGGACGGGGGCAACATGTTACACACATTTATTTGGTTTTAAATAGGTTCTAGGTATTTTTTTCGTATTTTTAAAGTCTCAAAATTCACGACCATGACGTGTCCCTAGGGTACATTTTCCAACTTTCACGTTGTTTTTAGACTAATTATTCATGCCGAAATATATAAAGCCATATTTTTATGTCATCAATGGTTATTAAACTTACAATAAAGGAGCATATTATAATTTTATTGTAATTGCAAACTGACTACCATGACAAAATAAGTCTATCCCTCGATTTGGCGTCACGACCATTTGGGAAAAATTTTCAACTTAGGAGCACGACAGTGGCAAGCCTGGCGTCGATGGAGTCAGTTGGTTTGAGAGACTAGTTCGGGGTGTACGTCAGGATTGTAGTGCCGGTCGTTTCGAGTTGAAAGGAGGAATTACAAGATTAATAAAGGAAAGATTGTGTTTTTTGTAATTTTGGTGTGTCCATGACCGTACGTAGTCATTCGATGAAGTAGACATGGTGTTAATTTTTGTTTATAAGATATTTAAATTGCTAGATTAACCTAGAAGTCCACTTTGTATCCTCGAACATGAGGTGCAGGGCTACCGCCAGAACAGAGCCAAATAACACGTAATTTCACGACCAAAGTTTCACGACCATCGCGGGTTTTTCATGACCAATCCAGCCTTATGGATTATAGTGTGTTTGGTCGTGACAATAACTTTAATATAATCGTAAATTGAACAGTTTAGTTAAATCGAAACACATATTTTTATTATAACTAACAGTATAATTGAAGGATTGCTTAGAAAGATTTAAATTATTCCAGACAATTCACGACCGTACCGCTTGTCCCTGACCATCACGTTTATGATTTCTATCATAACAATTTCAAAAATTAAAATATCGTCATATTTCAATGTTTTATACACAAAAGAAGCACACCTCTATACAAACATAACGATTTTTCGGGTCTCAGGTAAGTTTTTTCGTAGTTATACAAACTTAAAAAGATTTTATTGGCTTTTTTCAATTTTTTGAGTTTTTTTACTTTTTTTCTGGAAAGACCAAATATACCAAAAGCTTAGTGACCTTTTTATTGTATAATGGTCATAAAAGTAAATTAGTTTATAGCAAAACATAGTTATAAAAATAATATTAACCATTTTTAATACTCAATTAAACGTCCGTTATGGTTGTGACAGGATTTTGTGTTTTTCCACTAAAGATGCTCTTTTAAAAAATAACTACCAAAAATATTGCGTTACCATGGACATTTTATGAAACTTCAAATGTTAATGAAATAAAAAAAATAATAAAAGTTTTGAAAAAAGAGGAAAAAAAATTGCAAAGTGCTTTTCCTGAAAACGTACGTTTTTAAATTTTCACTCTATTATGTTTCTGTCTGTTATCAATAATTGTTAGTTTCATTAATTTTCTGCCTAAATTCAAATAAATTTGACTCATAATTTTGTTTTTATTCGAAGTGCTTTTGACAATTAAAATAAGCTTAAACCCCTCTTTTTTGTTTTAAAACTGCTAAATTTTCCAGGGGAGGGCCCCCGATACCCCCCCCCCCCCAAAGTCAACTAAAACTGTCAAATTGTCCGATTGCCACCGATTGTCGACTGTCAGGTCCCTCAGGTCCTTGAGATTGAGATGAGAACAAAACTGTCAGTCAAACAGTCAGAGCAGACGGACGACGGAGACGATCAGAACTAGGGAATAGCAAACTTGGGTCGGGAATCGGGATTTGGTTTTGGGTGCAACTGGGTATATATATTCCGTCTGCTAAATTGAGTGACGACAAGACGGGGACAG